ATATATATAAAAGCAAGCCTGCCAACATTTTAAACGCAATAAAACTGGAACAAAAATGGCGTTGCATATGAACTTTTAAATAATTTATGCGTAGTGGCTTGGAAAATATGTTTAAATGTATAAAAAATAATACATTAAAACATTAACTTAACTACCATTAGAATAACTTCTTACAAAACGAGTAGAATTTTGGCATCCCTGTATAAGTTCCACTAATCTCATTCAGTTACTTTGTATATGAATATTTTTGTTAAGATCATCAATTAACAAAGTATTTTCAAAATTCTATGCTACCAGTGAATTCAACTAAAAGAAAAGACTAAATAAGAAACAAAAAAATTTTTTTTGAATGTTTGTGTTGTTAATTACAATAAACTTATTGTATTCCTTTGTGAACTGGAGTCAGTTAATTATGGTTTTGACTTGAAATTTTCATCCAAATATTCTGCAAAAAAAATTCATTACATTTTAAAATAAGATAGAATTCAAGTTAACTTTTTTATTTTTTGAGCACAATTTCAGACAATGCAATGGTTGATTTAACAAACTTAAGCAAAAATTGAACTTAAATAAAGTTTTTATAGATAATTAACGTATTTCTTCACTTATTTGTCTAAAACAGTTAGGAAAATGAGAAAGACATTAAAAGATACTAAATATTCTATAGAAAAGTGAACATATACTTCCCGCTGCTTCGTTAAATTTTAAACGCTATTTTCAGGAAACTTTACTTTAAGAATAATTTTTGTACCAAAGTATTTCTATTGATATCTTCTGTTTCTGTGTAATAATCAACCCTTTTTAAATGGCATTTTCAGGAAATGTTTGATGTGATATTAGATGAGAACCAATTAGAAGAAGCCTGTGAACATCTGGCTGAATTTCTGGAAGCATACTGGAAAGCAACGCATCCCCCTGTAAAAACACCACCCCCTATTGTTTCAAGACCCATTCCATCCCCTTCCCCTAGATTAGAAGAACCCAGAGGTGGAGCTGGACTTCTGAGACACAATACAACCCCTCCAGGAATGAATTACAGATCAGATAACGAAAGGAGACAAAGGCATCTAGATGAGGTAAGATACAAGGAATTTACATTTTTGAATCATGAGAGAAAAAAAGGAGCACTTTAACATTTATGTCAATTTAACAACCTAATCTATTTCAGCCATTGAGACTGAATTTAATATATGTAAATATTTATTAGAACGCGATTAGATATTTTACTTAAAAACCAATTAATATTTAAGGATTAGTTTAAAGTTTATAGAAAAAAAAATCGAATAATTCCTGTTTCTTCTTTGTAAACCACCCATAATAGTAATATCTTACCTATTCTATTCAGGTCTTTGTCCAAGAATTAAATGTATATAAACATTTATCTGAATGTAATTAGATAGGCTCTTTAAAACTAATTAATATACAAGAATTAATTTGAAGTTTATAGAAAGAAAAATTGAATATTTTAAGTTTTTGTATTGTAAATTACACATAATTGGATTATCTATTATGTAATAAGATTATCTTACCTATTCCATTCAAGTTATTAAGCAGGAATTTAATGTATGTAAATATTTATCTGAAGGTAATGAGATAGTGTTTAAAATTTAATTAATATTCAAGTATTAGTTTGAAGTTTTTTTTAAGTAAAATTGAATATTTGTATACATTTGCAATTGTAAATCACCCATGAAAGTTCATCTATGATGATAAAAGGAGGAGTTTCTGCAGGTGTCTGTTACCCTCTTATATCTTCTGAATCATTTATGTTAGAATGTTGAAATTTTGTCTTCAGATGAATGGTGGAATTTTATTCCTTAATCCTCATAATAGCTCACAAATTTCCAATTTTTTTTAAAACGTCTCTCTTGAATGAACACTGAATATTTCTCATTAGTTTACCATTCACCATTGTTATAAATTATATTTCATTCTTCTTTCTCTGACATCTGAAAGACAATGTCAGTGACATTTGCTATATTATGGCTCTATTCAATAAAAAAAAGAACTTTATAGTTCATTTCTAATTGTTTAATTATTGTTCATTTGTTGTATCAGGTAAGCTCAGGGATGAATTTCAACGTGGAGGACTACGTCTCCAAATTAGTATTCCTAAAGTTATGTGAAACCACAAGTTTATTTTATTGATAATACGTTTTTGAAACTTGTTTCCATAAAACTAAATAATTTAAAATAAATGGAAATTGAATTACATATAAAAATACGTTAGATACTAGTAAGCAAAATTGAAAAAAATGTATTTGTAACAAATATACCGATAACGGAATTTAATATTGGTACCTAACATCTGTGGTGTTAAGGGGTTCATCTCTCACCTCCTCTAAAGGAAAAGAACCAAAGAGAATTGTTTGATTGCAGTTAATTTCAACAATTTATAAATTTCCCTTGAGCAATATAGTTGCTAAATAATACAGGGTTATTCATAATTCCTTCCGCCTGTAAACGCCATTTTTCTTTACTACAACTGGCTTCAGTGGTACATGTTACTGTCATCTACCGGCAACTGCTTAAATTAAAACTTGAATACTTTCGGAATAATTTCATATGTTCTTTTTTGACATATTCGTCTTCTTTTTTTTACTATTATGCTTCAAAAACCCGGAGGGAATTATGAATAACCCTGTATATTAAATAGAGTTAATCCTTGTTTATGATGAGATAAACTTCTAAAAACTTATTGCAATTAATCTAATAGCATAAAATACTGAGACTGATAAGTTCAAATTATTTTATCTTCATTTAATGTGTCTGTATGTGCCTTTTAGTTTTGTGCATGATTTTGTATTAATTATAAATGCCGATTTAGTGATAATTTACTTTTCGGACGCTGCACGAAAAACGGGAAAATGCATTTAGTATCAACAACAGCAAATTAACAATTGGTTTATATCTTTCTGATATATTTGTGTCAGAAATTGGAACTTTTATTTTAGACAGTAAGAATTTTAGAGTGTATTTTCATGGTTTCAATTCAAATGCTTTGCAAAAAAATTTAATTTATGGGGCACCCCCCCCCCCCACTGAGATTTTAAAAATTTTTATTTTCACATTTTTTATTAAATCTTCTAAACGCTTCAATTTCATAAAAGAAAAAAGGAAAATTTTTTCCTAAATTCAAACTTATGGTACATTTAAAACAATAACATATGAATCATAAATTTCAATAAATTTCTTTAAAAAAATCCCTAAATCCAAAAAATAAAAAGTTTAAAATTATTTTTTCGTTTCGTCTCTGATAATGTTACTGTGTCTCATGTACAGTCCGCAAAAAAAAAAACGAATCACCCTGAATAACTTTCGTTCTAATGATCGGATTTTCACGAACTAAGTGTCAATCTTAATGGTTCCTGGGGGTGACCTCAAATATGCTAATTAATTAGTGCTAACTATTAATTAAGTTACGAAATCAGACACAAAAACGTACTTTCTCTGAATAAACAT